GGTATAAAGGATAAAGGATAAAGCATTTGCCGTTGATCAATCCCTTTTGGGATGCGGCACGCATTCTACTTCCATTTGTACATTCGTAGTGGCGTTTGAATGCGATGTGGCCTATACAATGACTTGCGGGGGCCAGCCGATGTACAAGTCAGTGTTTTTATCCTCCCAGACAAGTCTGGTACCAATTAACCGACCCCGGAGGGATGGAAGGCTTGGTTGGCCCGGGCGACTCACGACCCAGGATTTGATCCCCGGACCGCTCGCGTGGTAAGCGTGCCACTTGCCACTACACCACTTCCGCCCTTGATCAATGGGAAAGGAAATCCCATAGCTAATTTCACTTTCACCAGATATGGCTTTTCCACTGATTTCTCACTCGTGTATGGTTTTACAAAACAAAGCAAAGATCGCCATGCTCACGCAAGACTTTCAGCGCGCTTCGAAAGCTTGCGCCCTTTCCATTTTTTCTCCAAGCTCTAGTCATTCTCGCGAAGATGTCTAGCAGTACGCGTTGCGTCGCGCTTGTCTCAATGATAGTAGCTGCGGACAGCGTCAAGTACCCTTTGGAAAAGTTCAGAGAAATATCGAAGGGCTGGATAACCACTCAAAACTTATATAATCAATTCCTGGGACAAACCTAAGCTAATGAGGTTGAATTCTGTGTATTTTGAGAGAGGAATTATTTTGAGCTTTCAAGGACTTGGAAGTATTAATTTATGCTCAACACATTGCACCCCTGCATCGCCGGGTATGCATATCGTTAGGCTGGTGTCAGAGTCCGCGATCCGTCGCAGGTTTCGCTGATTTTCGCGATTTGCGCGATTCACGCGACGGGTCACGGAAATCACAAGTGCCCGATCAATACTGCAAGGTGTTCTCGCCGCCACTTCTGCTTGATAGTGATGGCTGAATGACGACTGCTCATGATTCCACTTGTTTCATACATGTTCAAATGGGGCACTTGCAATGTTTGCGATCCGTCGCAGGTTTCGCGCAAATCGCGACAATCGCAAAGATCAGCGAAACCTGCTTCGGATCGCGGACTCTGGCTCCCCACTTTCTTCACGATTTGGGGCGCGGCCGCGGCAAACCCGCGGCGTTCGCGGCCGAGTAGTGCGGCATCAGCTTGCCTGAGTATTCGACGTTACATTACGTGTCGTTACGATCGATGAACTAACACGTAATGTAACGTCGAATACTCAGGCAAGCTGATGCCGCACTACTCGGCCGCGAACGCCGCGGATATTTTCTATTACTTGTGGTAATTCACGAGTTCTATGAATTCATTAAACATGTGGCTGCTTTGTGTCTTCTTTTTTGGGGAAACTAGAAAATTTCAAATTGACCAGCGGCTCCGTTCAAACCTCAAAAACCAACAATATACGTTGGCGGCTACTACCATCTACTACATACACTTTATGATGAGAACCGATAAGAAACTAGTAAAAAGCAGCAAGTCAGGGTAAGCAGAAAAGAAAGAAAGGAAAAGGCAACATGACGCCACGGAATATGAAGATTTGTTGTTAGTTTAAGTGGGTCCTATGACGAAATATATGGGTCCTGTAGCGAGATGTATGGGTCCTGCATCGAAATTTCACAAAATTCCTTGATATGACAATTGAGTACTGCCGGGTATGCAGCGAACAATGCACTTATTTCGCAGGTGCATGCACCGAAACAGTACGGATGCTAAAAGAATCTCTTTAGATTCGAAGAAAAAGAGGAAAAGGACAAAATTAAGTCTGGATTATTCCTACCATAGCTCTGTTACATACGAACTACCGCTCAGGCGGATCCTTTGGGAATAGAAGAGATAGGGGACGTTGGAAGTATAAGAAGCTTCCTGCGGTCCAGGTGCGAGTCGCTATAATTGAAAGCAACTTTTTCGCTTTTTGTTTTTGCAGCCCAAAACTTTCCTGCTGCGGGAACCATAAGTCCACGAAGTTTTCGCAGCAAAGAGGTTTGCTTTTCCAAAAGCTGGGTAGTCGCTTTTACGGTCCTATGAATAGGCCGATGTCATAGTTTGCGAATCGAACGTTGCGCCAGCGAATCGAACGATGCACCAGCGAGTCGAACTGTACCAGCGACTCAATAGTGGCGGGACCCAACGTTCAAAGGAAGCCCGCCACTTTCAAACAGTGTCACGTGACAGTGGACCCTGTTTGAAAGTGGCGGGACTTGACAGTGGACACTGTTTGAAAGTGGCGGGCTTCTTTGAACGTTGGGTCCCGCCACTATTGAGTCGCTGGTACATCGTTCGACTCGCTGGTGCAACGTTCGATTCGCTGGCGCAACGCTCGGATCCAGCGATTCGCTAGCGAATCGCTTCGCAAACTATGACATCGGCCTTAGGCTTTCGAAAAAGAACTTGTCTGTAAGAACACCACCATTTTGCACTCTGTGAGATTATATCATCTGGAAGTATGCTATACGAAGTTATTCATTTTTGAGTAAATCCTTAATAAAAGATAAAAGGATAAAGCATTTGCCGTTGATCAATCCCTTTTTGGGATGCGGCACGCATTCTACTTCCATTTGTACATTCGTAGTGGCGTTTGAATGCGATGTGGCCTATACAATGACTTGCGGGGGCCAGCCGATGTACAAGTCAGTGTTTTTATCCTCCCAGACAAGTCTGGTACCAATTAACCGACCCCGGAGGGATGGAAGGCTTGGTTGGCCCGGGCGACTCACGACCCAGGATTTGATCCCGGACCGCTCGCGTGGTGAGCGCGCCACTTGTCACTGCACCACTTCCGCCCAAATCCTCCTAGGATAGGCGATTAAAAGTGTTCTATTGCACAAATTCTGCTTTCATGCTTTACAATGCTTTGCACTTGCAGCATTGAAAGCATTGCTATAAACTCCGTGGTAGCCTTGGTAGCTGGATAGCAATTTCAACACAAAATACAACAAACAAACTCAAAAAAAAACTCACTATGTGAATCACCATCGAACTTAAACCATTACGTCAACGAAAAAAGTTCCCTGGAATAGGAATCATTTTGAGGGAAGGCAGTGAAGAGGACGCTATTGCTTGAGAAGGATAATTATAAAATGCACAAACTAGTGATAGCCCTCCAATCTAGCAATAAAACGGCATCGAGCAGAAGCAAAGAGAAAACGAAACCACATAGTCGCTCGTGGACGGGTGCGGTTCGCTAGGAAAGAAAGCGACTTCCGCTTTTCGCAACGCGGTTTTTCGCTCATGAACGCAAGGTCCACGTCTGATCAGTGGTTCCCACAGTGTTTTGCGCTGCGAAAAGCGGAAGTCGCCTCCTGTCCATTAGCGACGTTTACCGCTAGGCCGGTGTCAAAGTCCTAGATCCGTTGCGGATTCGAGCAAAAATCGTAAGTGCCTTATTTGAACGCTTGAAATATTGAATATGAAACAAAAGAAATCATGAACAGATATCATTATCCAGCAGGAATGGCGGCGGGATTGGAGAGCACCTCGTAGTAATTGTTCAGGGAGCTTATGATACCAGTGATCCGCCGTGACGGACCGCGGACTATGACACCAGCCGCCATCGTTCAATCGCCGAGTCTG